AAATCGGTTCCAGCTACGGAATCGATGTTGCGCATTCTTCGCTATATTCGCATCCGTCGCGTATCGCTACGATTTGAAGCGTATCGGCAATGTTCGGTTACTAAAGCGTAGGAAGGAGATGCCCTTCCCATTTCGATAATCAGGAGAATTTTCGCGAGCAAATATCGGACGGCTTTCAGCCCTGCTGAGTATCCAGAGCGTAAATCGGCCGATCGCTGTGATTGCTCTTAATATGCGAGTACACGTGCGACCTGTGTTTGCCAGTGTACATGCAATGCGGACATTGGAAGCGCGGCGCCTTACCACATTCGTATTTCAAATGTCTGTGAAGTCCTCGATACCATTTGTAGGTCTTCTGACACTTGGGACAGTCAAAGTTACCTCGGGATGTGGTGTCCACTGCTGGAAGCATACCGGTGTTGTAGCATCTTCGTCTCCGATCCGGAGCCAGAACGGTCACGTAAGGCAATGTCGACAGGTTGAACATCACTGGAAATTACACGGTAGTTTTCTCGGTAAGTGATATTAACAGGCAAACGTTAGCTCGACGACACATATAACAGCAGTATTTTCTCCCATCCCACCCCACCCCCGCTTTTCTCTCATGCTGCGACAAAGAGTTGGCCGTTCATCGAAAAATGTCGATCGCGGCAACTCTAGTCTGCGATAAGAAGGTAGACGCAAAACTTAGGCGTTTAAAAGCAACCGTTGCGGATCGATGTAGGAAATACAGTGTCGATATAACACGGTGCAAAAATTGCGACAACTCTCCTGTAACACGATTTTGATGCAACACGGAACGTATTAACCGTGTGTTACAGGCGAGTTGACTGTATATCGCGCACACTTTCCCATGTTTGCCGCTCTTTGGAAGAAGATAAGTAGGAAAAACGGTCGGAAGTGTTGCTTTCCGCTTTATTCTTCTTGACAAATGTATAAAAAAAGAAGCAAGATGTTTGGATGAAAAGATCTTTCTCGCTAAAAAGGAAACGATTCAGCGTGGAAAAAGGGGTTGCTCGAAGTTTGCCACCGTTGCGGGATGACCGTTCGACGTCGCCAGAAGCAAACGATTCGACGACAAAGGATCTGGTTCCGTCTGCGATCGGCGATACACCTGAAATCAAATTTAGCAACACGGTTAGCCAGACGCATGAGCGCATTTCGTGTCTCTGTTTTCTCTTTTCCTCCCTTCGCTGTGTCTAACACTCTCGAATATAAATAAAAAGACTCGAGAGACTGGGCTTGACAACTTTATTTCGCTTGGTATGACACATCGGTGGAGCGGAGCCGCGTATTAGAAGAAATCTCTCAATCGTGAGTTCAGTAGAGCCGTTTAAAGCACAGCGCTTGGTCAGGGTGATATTTCCTGATGTGGGCGTAAATGTTCTGGGTAAACTTGGAAAGCTTGTCGCAGTAGGGACACTGATATTTCGGCGCCATACCACACTCGTGACGCAGATGCCGCGACATGTTTTTCTTTAGGGTGAAACCACGATTGCAACGTGGACAATAGTGATTCTTGTGCACGGAGTACACTTTCGGCCGCCTCCTCGGACGTGGTCGAATATGCTGCCAAACACCTGAAATATCGAAGAAACGTGTTAGCAGGAAACAGCACGATGTACGAGCCGTTTTCGAAGCACTTTCCGGTCCAGGAGCATGTGCGAGTGCATCGTTCCGTGTCGTCGTGACATAGAGAAAGTAAAAGAAAATCAAGGCTCGAAGGAAAATCCATTTTTACGTCTGGATCGGCAAGAGAGGACGTTCAACGAGGATCTTCGTGGTCGAGATTGGAAAAAAGAAAAAAAGATAGGGGAAAATCCTCGTTGAAACGTCGATCAAGCAAAGCTGGCTAGTATGGGACGATGTACCGAAGGAACAATGCGACCAGAGACTGATGCAGAAAGACATATATATATATATATATATTTTTTTTTACATTGGAGAACATGTGAAAAATTGTACACGATTTTACGTCACTAATATAGCCTCGATTCGTTTCTGTTTGTGCCTCTATTTTAATTGGTTTAAATTTCGTCTTGTCTGGTCTCGTCCCGTCTTAGTATTGTCTATCGTATCTACCTTGAAACATTCGTTTTCAATCGCTTTTTGGAATGCGCTTCGTTCCTTAGCCAATACAAGAAATATCGGTTTTACATGTTTCTACGAGGATTCATCGAAGAGAAGAGTTTGATGGCGTGAGCTTTGTATCCGACGTGTCTCGATCTGACGTGTCTATAAATGTTGGACGAGCACGAGGCTTTCATTTCACAATAAGGACACTGATAGCGATGTCCTTGGCCACAAAAGTACCGCAGGTGTCTGGTTATGGTGGTCTTCTGGGTGAAACGACATCCACAGTTGAGACATTCGAATCTTTTACGCTCGTTCGGATGATATTTATACCTATCCAAGAAGCTTTTCATCCCCGACGAATAGTTAACAAAGTCCATGCTGTTCCATTTGAAAAACTGCTCCCTTTGATAGTCACCTGGAAACACCAAGATACACGATGGTTAATCCACGTCAAAGCCACGCAGCCATGAGCTTTATACCGTGCAATGGGCAACGTTCCTGAAGAAATGCGCGCGCGAGACAGAGAACGAAGGGGGAGAACGAGGGAGCGAGAGAGAGAGAGAGAGACAGATAGAGAAGGAAAAAGAGAGGAAAGAGAGTTTGGAACGATGAGAAAGTGGAAATTTGTGGAAATTTGGTTCCAGAGGATACCAAGTAATTGTTACGAATATAAAAGGCGAGAAAAAGGAGACGAAGGTAAGGGCAACTTACGAGATAACCGATTACGCGTAGCACGGTGGAAACGTAGGAGAAGAGAAAAACAACGGAAACTGAAAATTCATCGAGCTTTTAATCGTTTCAAACACGTTTATACATGATGGTTACGAGATCCTTTACAATTATCACCGACGATGTCATTCAGCTTTGAAACGAATGCTCGAACGACTAGAGAGAGGAGGATGACGGCTCCAATTTTTGTGCCATGTCCTATTCGGGCAAAGGGACAAAGTATTTCTTTCTGAAAAGACGTTCAGAAACGGCATCGCCACGACGCGACGCGACGCGACGCGGCGAGACGGGACGAGACGAGACGAGACAAGATGAACTATACGATAGTGCGAAGTGAGGTATCGCGTGGATTAAGTACGATTTTGGAAATACCGATTAGAAATCGATGTACCGTGGCAACTGATATTCGCGGCAATCAATCGCTCAAAACAGTTTATTGTAATAAACTTCCTTTCCTTCGTGGTAACGACTTATGTGATATTTGACGTTAGATGTATACGTGTAACACTTGTTGCAATAAGGACACTGTATCCCTCGAATACCGCACAAATGACGAACGTGGTAATTCAGATCTTTCCGCCTTTTAAACGTCTTCCCACATTGATTGCAGTCCAAATTGGTGCCATAGAGAAAAGCTGCGACGCTTTTCACGCTACGAATCTTGCGTTTCTGATCGCACGCGTGCTTCAAGTGGAAGACCAAGTCCCTTTGCTTGGGAAACATCTTGCCGCACTGCGAACACTTTGTCGCGTTCGTCTTCGAACGGGACGACGTGTCGTTCCACTCTGAAAATTAAAACACAAATACGATATATAGCCAAGTTCGAGCTATAACGCATCCGCGCGCAGGGAGATCCACGATTTCTATGCCGAAATACGTACACGTGCACGTCCACGTAGACGTGTACGCGTTAAGAAAATCAGCAATTCAAATTCATTCCATGGAAGCGTAGATAGATACATATCTACAAAGCGTTACATAGTTACGCGTAAATGAAAGTAGGGCACCAAGGAAACATTATAATGCTCGTAGATTCTGACTATAGATCCTGATCATAGGGACCAATCGTTTCGTGACTCGAACGTATACCAACGACAGTTTCGTCGAGTTGCTTTCTCGCGCAAGTGCACATGCACGCGTATGCACATCCGCATAAGCACGACGCACGTACCATAGACGCTCGCACGTACCACAAATACGCGAATACCCGATACGCGCACGCACGCACACACGCACACGTACACGCGCATACAGGCACACGAAATATCAGATCGACGGAAATCATCTCTCTTCGAATACGCGTATGGAGCCTTGCTACCGTCATCCGTGTGACTTGATCACGCATAGTATCGCTATCTCGAATAAAATACGTGTAGTGGAGAAAAAAAAAATCTGGCAGTGGAGTTGGATTCGTGTCGATTTGATCTGCTATTCCAATGATTCTAAACTATGATACTTCACCGGCAGCATTTCACACCGTTCAAAACATTTTATTCACACCGACTGGCAATTTAGGATGCCATCGTCTGATGTGCCTGTAAACATTCGAGGATGAATTGTCCTTCTTATGGCAATAAGGACACGCATATCTAGGAATCTGGCCACACTTGTGTCTAATCAGGTCCCACATCCTTCGGAATCCTGCGTTGCACTTTGAACAGATGTAACTGGAGACCGCGGCCTGCGTCCTCGCGTTTGGCCACTCCAATATCCGTACATCTGAAAAGAATCAGGACAATTAGTCCTGCGTCATGTCACTCGCTACCGTTTGCCAAAACTATATGCAATATCGTCTCGAATAGGCCCTGCGAACAGATCTAACGTGGCTATCGACAAGCGTGTCTAATCGCTATGGCGATTAGAATAAACGTAACAAAGTAACACGGACAAGAAAGAAAAAGTCGAGCCGCTGCGCTGTAACGAAACTGTTCTCCTCTCTCGGCTTTCTGTCGTCTCGACGTCGTTTAACACGCGTCCTCGATTTACCAACAGTTTACACCCATCGCGTTGCGAACCTCGTCCAAACTTATCACGCGTTCAAACACGCGTCTGCTGTTTATGTGTGTGTATGTGTGTTTCTGTATGTATTTGAATCTGTGAAAAGGGAAGAGGGACAGCGATCGGAACACCAACGACTGTCTGGAATGATTGAAATTAACATTATACTCGCAAATGTATATATCATATACCACGGGTTAAAGATATGACGATTTTATTGAGGTAAACGATACATCGTGTATCATTCTGTTTCGCGTATCTACTTCGCAAACACTCGACCTGTTCGTCCATCTCAATACTTGCAATTTTAATCGATCTCGATAATCCTAAATCTCTACTATCTTTGCTCTTTTCTCTCTTTTCTCTTATTTTCCGCTTCGCTTGCTTTCTCTCCTTCCTATTCTCCACCTTCTTCTTTCTCTTCTCTGTTCCCTCTCCCTCTTCCTTCCGTCCTTTTCATCTTCTTCTATCATAGAAAGTTCATAGAAACTTGCCACCTACGAAAATACCGGAATACGCGTGCACGCGTTGCCAGTAGCCTAGTCTCCGAAACTGCGGAGAGTTGTACGCGACACGAGGGAAACTTGTTGTTTACTTCGATGCGAATCGTGCCGGACGTTACGCCGTTATCCTTGTGTTTTCAAACGCGGCATAGACCGATAGATCGACAAACTTGACGCGGCCAAATGACACCGATTAGATCGGAACACATCGCTATATTACGACTGGGAATCAGCGCCTTTGTCGAGCTAAGGCAACCGCGAATTTAATCTGCGGATTAAATGGAAATCGCGAGACCGACGAGATAAACTCGAACGTAAATTTGACGAAAGGGGAAAGATCGTTTTTAATTTCGATGAACGATCACAGGCATTCCGTCGTGTCGCATTCTGATGTGTTTGTAAATATTCGACGAACACTTGTCCCTCTTGTTACAATAAGGACACTTGAATCTCGGTTCCTTTCCGCAGTCGTATTTCATGTGCGTCTTCAATGTTTTCTTATAGGTGTAACCTGCGTTACATATAGGACAATGATAGGACATTTTGCCAGAGTCCCAGAATACACCGTCTTCGTGCTTGATGGCAGCTCGTCTCCCCCTGTACTCCATGTCCGCTCTCAAATTATCCAGAACGGCGGTGTTATCGTAAGATGGTAGGGGCCGTCCTACGAACAAGAAAACAGAGCCAACGGTTAGCAAGCAGCGAAACCGGTGTCGGTACCGAACGGAAAGGAACAAGGAAATAAATACAACAGAGAAACGAATTAACCGATACGCTTAATAGGTCGACAGAAACAAACCCCTAAGAATTGCTGCAATACGCGAACCAATGTCTAATCCTGTTGTTAAATGTCGAGCAGTCGCTGAAACGAGTAGCATCGAGTAAAATGAGATAGCTGAAAGACGGGATAGAACGAGAACAGTGATTCTCACGGGACAAGGAACACATCTATTTTCGTAATCTTGTACACACAACTGCTCGCGCTTTTCGCTCGATTCCAATTCATCCCGAATCACACGCCTACGAAAGAACGCTTCCATGCTTTTGTCCTTTCTTTCCTGTCCTTCCTTCCTTCCTTCCTTCCTTCCTTCCTTCCTTCCTTCCTGCTTTCTTCCAAGGATCGATACATCGATTCAGTAGAGCTTGTACGCTTGAATTCTACTACCCTTGTGGTAGGTCCTGATATGCCTGTAGGTATTCGAGGATTTTCTGTCCCTTTTGCCACAGTACGGACACTGAAAGCGTGGTTCCTTGCCGCATTCGTATCTAAAATGTGTCAGCATGTTCGCCTTCTTACTGAACGAACTGCAGCATCTCGGGCAAAAGTATCTCTGAACTTGATCGGTTTGCCCCGGCCGCGACTCCTCAACGTACCCTGCAAAAGACAAGCAAATCACAGGCCGAGTCAGTATGCTTGTCTACGGTTCGTGCGACGAATTTCAGAGAATACGATTTCGATCTGAAACTGTGACAGCGAGACGCTTTCAACCGTTTTCAAAGGTCTCTTCGTTGTCGGGTGAACGCGTGTTTCTACGTAGACGCAATCGTTAAATTCTGTCAAATAATTAACACGCTTCCGGTGATCGAACGAAATAAACGAATTTTATTGGCGGATGGTGGTTAAAGAAAGAAAAAAGCTGATCGATTACAGAGATCTTATGGTGACAGAGAAGGATAGCAATCTTTGGTGAAAAGTCGCAGCACAAGTCGTTGAAAACAACGCACGCACGTGCTGTGCCGCGCGTCCGTATCTCCTCGTTGAAACGACGCAGCGCAAAGTCGTCGTCGTTAGAGCGTCCACGTCTCCGCGTTTCCTCTTCCCTTTTTATCATCGTCGTCCTTCGAAAACAACAACATCTGCTCTTCGTTGATCAACGCAAAAGCAGCCGGTGTGGCTTAAACAAAGGCAATTGTTTGTGGACCCTTCGTACGTGTTTGTAGACGTTCGAGCTATATTTTGACCCGTAATCGCAGTACGTACACCGAAAACGAGTCTCGTGGAGGTTGCAATGGGACCGGTAGTGACGCATCATACGGTCTTTCGACAGGAAACTGTGTGTGCAACGAGGGCAGTGGAACCAAGCATGATGATTTGCCGGCTGTCTACCTGCAAGCACGGATTTCATATCAACATTCAAATATTTCGCCACGCGATCAACGATTCGAAGGATATCAAAATTTCTCCCCTCCTTTCGCTCTCTCTCTCTCTCTCTCTCTCTCTCTCTCTCTCTCTCTCTCTCTCTCTCTCTCTCTCTCTCTCTCTCTCTCTCTCTCTCTCTCTCTCTCTCTCTCTCTCTCTCTCTCTCTCTCTCTCTCTCTCTCTCTCTCTCTCTCTCTCTCTCTCTCTCTCTCTCTCTCTCTCTCTCTCTCTCTCTCTCTCTCTCTCTCTCTCTCTCTCTCTCTCTCTCTCTCTCTCTCTCTCTCTCTCTCTCTCTCTCTCTCTCTCTCTCTCTCTCTCTCTCTCTCTCTCTCTCTCTCTCTCTCTCTCTCTCTCTCTCTCTCTCTCTCTCTCTCTCTCTCTCTCTCTCTCTCTCTCTCTCTCTCTCTCTCTCTCTCTCTCTCTCTCTCTCTCTCTCTCTCTCTCTCTCTCTCTCTCTCTCTCTCTCTCTCTCTCTCTCTCTCTCTCTCTCTCTCTCTCTCTCTCTCTCTCTCTCTCTCTCTCTCTCTCTCTCTCTCTCTCTCTCTCTCTCTCTCTCTCTCTCTCTCTCTCTCTCTCTCTCTCTCTCTCTCTCTCTCTCTCTCTCTCTCTCTCTCTCTCTCTCTCTCTCTCTCTCTCTCTCTCTCTCTCTCTCTCTCTCTCTCTCTCTCTCTCTCTCTCTCTCTCTCTCTCTCTCTCTCTCTCTCTCTCTCTCTCTCTCTCTCTCTCTCTCTCTCTCTCTCTCTCTCTCTCTCTCTCTCTTCCTCACCCTTGCTCGCGCGCCATTTGTTTTATTTCAGCACCAAATTCAATATCACTCGATTATTAACAACAGAAAATCGACTGTATCGTGATCTACCCAGCCGTGTGTACACAGTTAAAGTCGAACGAATAAAGCACAAGCGCAGAAAATTGCAAGCCGGTGACTCGGTCGAGCTTGCAAGATGTAGCGAGTGGCAAAATTTCCAATTAGACTGTACTTGTTCGTGAGCACCCGTGCTACTATGTAGGGAAGGAGAATGAAAACTGTGAAGATGGAATCGGAACAAGAGCTTAGAAAATATTGAAAACGGACGAAAACAGAGATGCAAAAAAAGAAAAAGACATACGTAAAACATAAAAAAAAAACGACAGTTGTCTTTGCGACATTTCCCTTTCTTTTCTTATCTCTTCTCTTCTTCCTTTTTTCGTCTAATCTTCCTCACTGTAATTATTCGCAATTCCTACGCTAACTTATTCGCGCCAGTCCTTTGGTAAGTAAAAACGTTCCTAGGCTCCTTGAGAATAAACTATGGGCAATTGTACAAAGACTATCAAAAAACAGGCTTTACGTCGAAGCGCAGCCACGCAAATGTACAATACAAGATCTAGTCGGACATTACAACGACGGTACATTGCCACGGTTTGGTACCGACATCGAAATCTTGCTGTTATAATAGCAACGATGATGACGACGATGATGATGATGATAATAACAATAGTAATAATATTAATAACAATATGATTCTGTTCGCAATTCGCAAGCATACATCGTTGGTTTTTATTCACCGCGTCGGCGGTTTATTATCTGTGCTCGATCGGAATTTCAATAAACCTCGGTACATGCATTCTACGTGGTTCGGGGCTCGTTAAAATCGAACAGGTTCCTACGTTTCATACGTCTCATCTCTCGCTCCGATCGTTTCCATGCCTCTTCTTCCGTCTCTTCTTGCCGAACAACTCGGCCGGTTCGGTCGATCGAATTATGCGCGCGTTGCAGCCTGCTCGAACCGTGTTCCGCCGCCGTAACCGGAAAAACGCGCACGCGCGTGCAACACGAAATGGACATGGTATACGGTCGGTTTGCGGCAATCGATATATTCGGTATAAATAGGAGGTGATTAGGTTGAATCGACGATTGGAAATCGAAGCAATAGGTCGCAGCGTCGCCAGGACGATTCAGTAAAGCTTGACGAATCTTAGCTCCATGTTGTGATGCTTGGCCCTAATGTGCCTATACACAGCCTGAGTATACTTGCTGCGCATATCGCAGTGCGGGCACTTGAAACGCGGCAGATCGACGCATTCGAGTCTGTAGTGACGACTCATGCCGCCGGAAGTGTGAAATGTACGGGCGCATCTTGGACATGGAAAGCCGCGCCGGTTAAGGGACGTCTGTAGCCTCAGCATGTGCCGAGAATTTCGAACGACACCGTGGAACTTTCCCAAGACAATTGGCCTGAAGTCTGTAAGCAGAAAAAGAGACGAGAATGGACCGTTAGAGAGAAGTGAAAGCAACAAGTCGTATTTCCTCTGACTCGTTCGACCAATTGGGAACGGGTGACGAAAATTAAATATAACTGCGGGCCAGCGAAAATTCAATTTCACGACGAGCCGTCGTTCGTCTCGCGATCTTTAAAGGGATCGGAAGGATGATACGTTGCGTACGTTCTCGCACACGTATTTTTCCAAAGGAGAGACAAGCTTGGTTGTGTGTTTGTTGTGTCCTACGTGTTTTCATTTATTGACAGGAATACATAGAGTCCATCGTTTGAAGCATTGGCACTCGCCCCATACGCTAGCAGTAGTGCGTTCCGATTGCAATCTTCTTCGTGCGATCGCAGTGAGAATATGTTCGATCGTTTGCCACTCGCGCGAGACAGGGCACGCGTCCAATAATCGACGAAGGCATCCAAATGAAAAAAGAACTGTTTAAAATCGAGGTTCGCTTCCGTTGGAACGAACAACGCGATCCCTGGCACGGCGTGGTTGATTTTTTGGAAACCACTCGATGCAGATGATTCGCCATGGCCTCGAAGCCGATACGATGAATTCTTCTCGCGCGTCGATAAATCAGCGTTCGCTCCGTTTTCCGTGATAAGAATTTCTCGTGATCGAGTCCGTTGTCGCAAACCTGACGAACGAACCTCTCGTTCGGTCGCCATTCTGCTATATCTGAAACGAAACAAACCGAAAGGCTCGTTAATCGAACGAACGTTCGTGGGACTTGGAGTAACCGGCGAAAGCAAAGAAAACCAAAGGAGACGAGACGAAACGAAAAGTTGGACGTTGTTGCTGTTGCTGGATCGTCGTTGCTAAAAATTCGAGAGGAAACATTGTACGAGATCAAAGTAGGAGAAACGAGTCTGTTCTTCTTCAGCAATTTTATTCGTTCGAACGACAATTGGAAAATATTGGCCGTCTATGACGCGTGATCGAACGACACGATCTGGATCGTGCATTTGATTGCACGTGTTCGAAAGAAATATAGAGGAAGAGGAGGTTTTAACGCTTGGATACATTTTGCTGTATCCGATGTTGGTTGGCTTGGTAAGCCGCGAGCAACGGTTCAATAGAGTTTAACGAGGGTGACAGGTTCTTCGGGATGCATACACCTGATATGTTGATAAACGTTGGATGTCTTCTTGCTGCACATGGTGCAGTAAGGACACTTATACCTCGGCGCCTTGCCACACTCGTACCTAAAGTGACCCAACATAGTGTCTCGCCTGCCATAGCCGTTGTTACAGTTGGGACAGTGAAATTTCCCGGTGAACGCGTTGTACAGCTTGTCCCGTTTCCTCGCGTACTTCCTCGAATGCGCGACACGGAGGAGATCGTCGAGTCGGTCACCTACAAAACATCGTATCACGGTCAAGTTCGTAAGCTAGCCCTAATTCCCGCGAACAGCTTTCTCCAACATCGCCTTACAATTGGCACGCAAACGAGAGGGAAACACAGGGGATCATGCAAAGTAGGATATAGCATATAGGAGTAGAGTACACATCGACCAATACGAACAATATCAAAGCCGATGTCGCTCTTTCAAACTGAATACAGAATATAGAACCGAACACGTTTATTCTCGCTTTTCCCACAAAAGTTTCTTTATTCTTCCAAGCTTTCAGATGTCTTTCGATTAACGGGCTCTTCTATTTAACGGTTTTATCGATCAACGATTCCACGAACGAAACCGGATCACTACGCGTCGTTTCGACGTCGCGAACCGATCCTGGTCGATTTGGCGATTTGAAAGTTGCGATTCCATTCGGACGATTCGAAGGCGAACCGTTTCGTTTACGAAGAAGTAACGCACAGAGGTAACCGTTGATCAACGACGTTCGTATCGGTATCGTTTCGAGAAACGGCGGCCAACACATCGACACGCGTCATACATCGCGTCGGTAGAAGAATGGTCCTAAAACAACGTGTTACAGATGACCGGCTTGGATGGGTGCTTGTGCCGTATGTGATCCTGGATGTTGAACTTTTTCTTGCTCAACTTGCCACAATAAGGACACTCGAAGCGCGGCGGTTTGCCGCAATCGTACTTGAAGTGGGCCGTCACCGCGCTCTTGGTCGTGTAACTCTTTCGACAACGTGGACAAGGGAATCGGGTTTTACTTTTTCTCGAGCTTCGTTCCGGGTACTTGTCCTCGATCCAAGGTAGCGGCAACATTTGTAGGAATGCTGAAAACAAAAACGGAATAGATCGGTTAGTTGTGATTTGTGAAAATCTCGCTCGAGACGCTCCTCGTCGATTCGAACAAGGCTTGCTTTTCTTTTCCACGCTTTTTGTCCGCGGACGAATGATGTATGATCGTGCGTCCGATTTCTCGTGAAAACTCGCGAATCGTTTCACGCGATGGTAGTCGTTCGATCGAACGATCGAGCCGCTACGGAAGAACCGCGTGTGCGAAGGATCGTCGGTGAACAAGAAGATTTACAGGTAAAGATGAATGAAACTGAATGGTTTCTATGTGGGGAAAACTCGGAAATTGTGCTTGCAGGCTCACACACATACACGCGCGCCTCACGATAACGTTCAACTATCTCGTCGAGTTATAGACACACAACAAATAAAGCGATTGCAGGCATCTTCAAGCTGTATGTACGAGAACAAAATTCATCGAGGAGTTGGCAAAACACGCGGTCGACGATTCGACAGCCGCCAAAACACTGTCCTTGCCGTTCTCTTCCACGTGCTTAACCGATTTTGTCGATTTCCAACCTGTAAAGCGTAAGTAAAGTAATTGAACGTGTTTAATCGTTACACCTCGTCCACGCTGCACGAGATATATTTTTCACGTGGGAATCGAAGGATAATGGTTGGTCTACGCAAAACACTAGTTATTTCTTTATCACAATCAAACACTTTATTGTTAGCAAATTGTCTTAGTTAAAGAAAGAGGAAGAAATAAGTTTATTGCTGGTCATATTGAAGTACAACGACTTCGAGCTTCGATCCTGGATGCTTCAGGCGTATGTGTTTATAAACGTTGTTGGACTGCTTGCTCCTCATTTCGCAATAGGGACACTGAAACCTCGGTGGGCTGCCACACTCGAACTTATAGTGGCGCAACATGTGATGCAAGTGCCGGTAAGTCCTCTCGCACTTTGGACAATTATACCTGATGCATCATCGTAACGTTACAGAAAAATCGCGAATTATCGCGTTTGCACGCGACTCGAATGCCGGGAATCGTCATCGAAACGCGGCAAATGTACGCGATATCGCGACCAAACAAGCAATCAGACTAACCTATTGCTATCATTGCTTCCGTGCTTCTTTCCCAGTCGACGACAACGCTGTTGTTGCGGTTCCAACTGCACACAGTGATCCACGTGATACTGGAAGATCGATGGATCCGGTAAATACATCGCACCTGAAATCACAAGCAGAGTGGATTCTGATGTAACGCGTTTATTCTTGTTGCCGTAACATTGTCGTCGATTGTGAAGGATATAAAGAGGAACGAGGGAAAGGCGGAGAGACGATGAGAAGAGGAGTGACGGAGGAGGAGAAGGTGGAGGAGAAGGTGGAGGAGAAAGAAGAGGAGGAGGAGACGGACAGAAAAAAAATAATTGACAGAAAACTCACAGCAATATTTCTTTTGTTTCTGTTGGCACAATTGGAATTTTAGAAAATCGAAAAACTCTCGATTTCTCCAACGGATGAACGTTTATTGTATACATGCTATTTGAGCTTACAGATTCTTCGTTTCCAATATTCCACGGAAATTGGTGGGAATTTCGCGAATGCGCATGGACGGGCTCGCTAAACGAGATGACGAATTCTTTTTGCGATCGGATTGCTCGAAATAACGTTATTTATCGCGCGATTTACAAAATACGTCTCCTTTTCTGTATCGCGTACGTTCGATGGCAGTTCGTTTGCATGCAGAAAGAACATTTCCATATGGATTAATTTTTTCGTGCGTAAAACTGTCTATTGGTAGCGATGTCGATGAGAAAGACGCACATTCCTCGATGTTTGGTCCTAATGTGTCTATACACGTTCGAGACCTCTTTCGAACGCATGTCACAGTAGGGACACTTGAACCTCGGTCCTTGGCCACATCCGTATCGCACGTGTCTTCGGAGGTTCGTTTCCCTAGTGAATCCGCTTGGACAGTTAGGACAGCAGAATTTCTTCGACTTGTTCCGCCAGATGCCGAAATCACGACTGACTGAAACAAAAAACGCAGCAAAATACTCGCGCACAGTCTACGAGCTAGTTCGAGTCGCATAGATCGTCAACGACAGAATTCGCGTATGCAACAACTGCGGCAGATGAAGGAAGAGACGGTCGACAACGACGAAAACAACGACGCCGACGTACCGAAAGATCGATAACCGATCGAATACTGGAAACGTTCGAATCACGCGTCACAGAAAAATTAGCGAACGATTTTAACCGCGCGTTGCGATTTCCATTGGTCGTATCGCTGGGCAAAGTGACCTGAAACGAATCGCTTTGCATCGTAGCAACACGAAACGACGCTGACAAAGAGGGTCGGAACGCGTGGTTTAAATAAACGCTATATATATGCGATACGATGGAAACGAATAAAATTTTATTCAAATCAATTTCTGCTTGATATTTTCAAAGATAATTTCATTCCCAGTATGTTCGTAGTCACGTACTTATGCATGCACGAAGGCAAGCGCATGCTCGCTCACACGTATGTCAGTCTGTGTATAGTATTTAAGTTAGAAGAAGATAATTGGGGAGAAATCAGAGAATGGGAAACTCGGTCTTGAAAAAATGTTGGCGAAACGAAGCAACCAACGAAGCAGCTGCTACAACTTGCTTCATAGCCGACTCATTTTGTACGAGTTGTATGAGTTGTGTGCCATCAATTCGTGAAGATCGATGACGAAAACTTTCAAATTCGCATGTTTTCTTCTGATGTGCGTGTATATATCCGATGTCTTTTTACTTCTCTGTTGACAGTAGGGACACTGAAATCGTGGCTCTTGTCTACATTCGTAACGCAAATGTCTGGTCAGACTCGGTTTCTGGGTGAAGGCACTCGTGCAATTTGGACATGGAAACCTCTTTGTCTTGGTAAACGGATCCGACCTTCTCGTTCTCGTCTGAACGACGACGCGAGCATGGATACCTAGAAGGAGGAAAATTTCACATTAATTTAATTCCATTTATTTATGGCGTATACGCAAGGCTAATTCCCATCAGAATATAAATAGCGTACACAATGCATAAAGGATGCCAGCACAATAATAGAAAGAGAAAAGGAATCGAAAAATAAGGGAACGAATATAAATGTCCTGAACAGCGAGAGACGATGGAAGAAAGAAAAAGGAGGGGAAGACAAAGAAAAAAAAGAACGGTAAACTTTGCTTGAAATAAAGACTCGCGAGTACTTTGAATTTTGATTTACTTTATTGAACGTAACTTCGATCTGCGCTCATGTGTAGCGCTTGTGGTTCTCAAGAAAACTGTGTACTAGGCACCTGAGCGAAACTACCCTTGAGACAGACGATAGTGAGATAAAACGTTCAGTCGCATAGTTATCAAAATACGTTAACTTTATGACAAACCATTTCAAACAGACAATTGAATTTCAGTTTGAACCCAAACTGAACGGCTCCGTTGCGATCCGAAAGTATCGCAATAGCGGAAGGTTCGGCGTGGAACCACAACAAGTGGAAAACGAGAAATAAACATGGAAGGACATGATTCCGAACCGTGTGAAAAACTTCGATTCGTTGTTAGTGTCTGCGTGTAGCCGATATAAATGCCGAAACCCTGAAGCAACAAGGGGAAAAGGCCACGATTGCATGCAAAGCGTCGGCAAGGAGCGAACCTCGATTCTCATCATGGATGATTTTACGATGTTTCGTCGGAATCGCGAGTCGACAAAAGGTATCGAACCGGATCGTTCGACAACACGGCCGCGCATTCTTTTCTCGTCGAATCTCAAGCTCGGTCCTAGCTTCTCTCGTTGATGTTCGCTGCTCGTCGCAAAACGATTCATCTAACAATTTCCCACGCTTGACAAATATCGATCACATAAACGTCGTTGTTCTTGTGCTTGATCCTGATGTGCTTGCGTATATCAGCCTTAACTTTGCACACGTAGTCGCAATAAGGACACTTGAATCTCGGTTGTCGGCCGCATTGATAGCGCAAATGACTGGTCAAGTTTCTCTTCCAAGCGAACACACTTCGACAGTTGGGATTCGGGCAGGCGTACTTGCTGGCTTTCACCAGGCAATTCGTGCGTTGCTCACCCCTCAATGACGTAGATCCATTGTGCCCTGAAAAAGAACGAATCGTCCGCGATCAAACGCTTCTTGGAAGATGGCATCGAGTGTGTGTAATAAACGTGCGAGAAAAATCAATGAAAACGTGGCCCTATAAATCCGATCCGATACCATCCATCGGATCGCGATCGTATTTCATGGTCCGTGAAAGAGCGAAAAAAAGCATGTGCATAATCGTTGTGTACGCCTATAATTACCTGTTATTACCTGCAATGAAAGAAGGGAGAGACAGCGGGAAAACAGCGATAGGAAAGTAACGTATACTCGTGATGGAACCGTGCGATTTACGTAACGTGTTTTAGTCGTAAAAACTAGCACGCAACTTGGAAAAGGCGAATTATGCTTTATTCGAATGAAAATACAGGTTTCGGGATTGCGTGGAGGTCGACTAGTTGGAAGACGAGGCGGTGAGCAAGTCGACCACGTAGACGACCAAACCGTGATGTCTTCTTGGTATGTGCTTGCTCACGTCTCCTTTAACTTTGCAACGATACTCGCAATACGGACACTTGAATCGTGGCTGCACGCCGCACTCGTATCTCAGATGTCTGTTCAAGTTTCCCTTCCAATTAAACGATTTGGCGCAATTAGGACTCGGACAAATGTAAATCGCGTTGCGCAGTTTCGTCGATCTGCATTTCGTCGATCTACCAACTTCCCTGTACGGCCACCAACTTTGCTCGGAATCTGAAACAAACGAACAGACGAAATTTTCTCATTGCGATAAATCGGTTGTTGGCTCGTTCGCTACCTCGATTCATCGTCGGTATCGTTTCGATACTTGGAGTGTGCGCAGAAAGAACGCAACTTTTCGGTTCGTCATATACTCAGTTTATTAAGAAGAATTAATGCGAGATGACAAAACACGGTTCGACCGATAGAATCGCAAAGAATCGATCGAATAAAAAAATTCTAGGCGCTGAGAACGTAGATGCTGCAATCCTTGTGAACTCTCTTGATGTGCCTGCATATGTTGGCCTTCCATTTACCACGGTACACGCAGTAAGGACACTTGAAGCGCGGTTCTTGTCCACACTCGTTACGCAAATGTCTCTTCAGCGTGCATTTCCAAACGAAAACGCTCGGACAATTAGGACAGGGAAATTGCTTGTAAGTCGCGTCGTTGAACCGTACTCGTCGCTTCTTGTAGCAAGCGTTCGCGTGATATCGAGAATCTGAAAGCAGAACAAAATACTCGCGGTCAATTATCCGGATCGCTAAAAGTCCGAGAAGCGACGCGAAGGAGCTGCGCGTTTAAGTTGGATCGAAACGTCCGGTCGATCAACGTCCACGCTGCGTATTCGACGATCCTCGCGCGCTCCTTCTTCTTTACGAGGAACAACGCGCGAAAACAGGTCGCGTGAATTTCGCACACGTCGTTGCACCTTTACTCTATTCGCATACATTGTAAGACGAAATTCCAAACGTTATACTCGCTGAGATACTCTTAGTCCTCTTAGTGGAAGATAGCCTCTTTCCCCTCGTGAATACGCGTTTCTGTCCGATTCGATTCTTTTGCGCCTGTGCCCGAACGCGTCCGATCGGCATGCTTCGAACGGTTCACGACGCTTCAACGAACATGATGACGAGCCTCGATTCCTATCGAATACACCACAGGTTTACAACAACAGCCTGTTTTTCGTTCGACGCTGTAAGAATGAGGCGACTCACCGCGTCGCAATTCGCACGCCTCCCAAGTCGACAGTATAACGCGACAATGATAAATGAACAAAGTTTTATTGTGAGACATTTTTACTCTTCGAGTACAAGAAAACAATTATTTGCATCTTGCGCAATGTTAGTTTCTACCGATGTCGATGCAACGTACGACGCTACCTTCGTGTTTTCTACGTACGTGCCTATAGACGTCCGATGTCCATCTAGAACGAAAGTCGCAAGACGGACATTTGAAACGTGGATTTTGTCGGCACTCGTAACGCAGATGTCTGGTTAGGGAGCCGCGGTGAGTGAAAGAACTGCCGCAAGCGTTAGAGCAGAAGAACCTTTTATTAGCAGCGGAGAGTCGTTGGGCGGTCGATTTGCGCTGTCTCCAAGTTGCGCAAACCAAACGCGAGACGACGCCTGGAAAAGAAGATTCACCACTGAACGTAAACAGCTATCGTTTGTAAAGCGTGTTTTCGTTAACTCGCTCTAACGTAGATAACAACCATGAAGGATATAAAGAACGCGAAGACCGCACAGCAGAGCGGGACAGAGAAGAGAAAAGGGCAGGACAGGGCAGGGCAGAACTGACAATGAGCGTAAAGCGAAACAGGGCGGAGAGAAGCAGCGTAGAGCAGAGGCGAAGCAAAGTAGAGCAAAGAGGAAGAGCAAAGAATCACGTTGCGTCTCGATATCGCGTGGAAAGGATAGGAGATGAAATAAACGACGACAGACGACCAACCGTTTTTCGATCAACGTATGTCTTTATTTATAGTTACTGGTATAATTCGTAAATGGTAAAAAAGAAAAAAGAGTGGCGTTATAGAGGGAATTTAAAAATTCCCCTAATCAAGTGTAGCGCATAAGGAGCAAAGTAGAAAATGGCAGCTGCTACTTCGGTGAAGCGTCGTTGAATGTACGAGGAACGAATGTGGTTAAGTCTCTTCCTTACGAGCGATCTTTAGAACGTCGATCGCGTATACCTGACAGTTTTTGTGTCTTCTTCTCACGTGCTCATAAATGTTGGCCGATTTCTTGCATCGATATTCGCAGTGGGGACATTTAAACCGGGGTTCTTGGCCACACTCGTAGGTCAGGTGCCGATTCAACGAGTATTTCTGGCTGTAGGCACAGGTACAGTTCGGACAGGGAAACCTCTTCGTCTTAAAGTTATTGTCTAAATCGGTTTGGTTCGACGATCGGGACCAGAGTTTGCCGATACTTTGGCCTTGGTCGTCTTCGATACCAACGTTGATCCCGAACACGCTGAACGGGCCCGTAGTATCTGGAACGAAACGGGTCTGGCTGATTGCGAGTTTATACGTGCGTTTCGTTCGTGGAAACGATCTACGAGTGCGCATTGAGAGAATCCATCTCTTCGCGAAAACCGAACGATAAAATCAGGAAATTTGCAAAAATTAGACAATCGACGATCATTGACTAGTACAGAGATCGTAAGTAACATATGTATCATCCGTGAAGACGATGAAAATGACAATAGGTCTGGTGTAACGAACTTACAAACCGGTAGAAGCTGCCACGCGCGATCCACCATCCAAAACAAACGTTCAGTTTGTCGTACGATACAGAAAAATTGGCTGTCGTTTGATCGCATAGCGGATCAACTTGCGCTACTTTAAATGCTATCGAAAAATACAAAAGTTTATGCCACATTGCGCAACGGGCAATCTCAACGCAGTCGATTTATTTTCTACGGGACTGTGTCTCCTCAGTTTTCGCAGGGAAGAGGAACAGAAAGAAAAGAAAACGAAGTAGGAGCTGACAATAAGAGTAGAAAGAATTCGACTGGATCATCGGAGTCAATCTGATGACAGTTTGTCAAGCTTCGTTTCGTTGATCGTTCGAAAATTCAGTTGTTACTAGCTTCGTTATTCTGTTGGTCACCGCGAATATCCAGAACGTACACCACCTGATCAGGATGCATTCTACGTATGTGAGACCTGACGTTCGAAGAATGCCTCGTACGATACGGACAATAAGGGCAATTGAATCTCGGCAACTGGCCGCACTGAAATTTTAGGTGATTATACAAATTATTTTTTCGCGTGAAAACGTTACCGCACTTATGGCAAGGATAATTTTCGCTTCGTTCGTTTCGATAGTGATCGTAGATGCAACGAGGTCCATCACGGTAACACGTACAATTCGATACCGGACATTGAACACCTGTGAACAGAAAAGGTCAACCAAATGACTTTCGACTATGTCGACTTTTCGTCTCCATCTTAAACGAGAAAAAATTTCATACTTTCCAATCGACGCGACCTATGTATTCTTTTCGCTTCGCGATTCCGTAACATTAATAATATCGCTGTAAACAGTTGACTACTTTTAACAAAAATCATTATATACAAAAGACAAATTAAATCGTAACATAGCGAAACAAATGACAGGAGAAAGAGAGAGAGAGAGAAAGAGAGAGAGAGAGAGAGGCAGACAGACAGATAGACAGAGAGAGGGAGAAAGAGACAGAGAGAGAAAGAGAGAGAGAAGGGGTTCCAGCAAATATTAGCTTTTCTCAAGCACAAAAATACAGTGGAACAAGCATTGTAAATGGTAAAAACTTAGTTCGTAAATGTTTGTCAAATGTGAATCAATGGCAAGTTGATTCGCATAAGAGTAATTCCTCTGAAGCTAAGGAACTCGCATCGTTAAGAAGCGAAAGATACAGATAGATAAATATATTTACCCCTGAAAATAAGAGAACGGGTATGCGCTACGAAAATCATAGAAGTTGACCAGTTTTGCTTATATCTACAACGTAAACTTCGTTGCCAGGGTGAATTCTGCGCACGTGGGCTCGCACATTCGAAGGATGTTTCGTTCTATACACGCAATAAGGGCAATTAAAACGCGGCAATTGTCCGCACTCGAACTTCAAATGATATTGAAGATTGTGCTTTCTGCTGAATACGCTGTGACAATTTCCGCAAGGAAACTTTTGCCCGTGCTGGTCGTTCGTTCGCGAAAACGTGCCTCCTCTGGTCGGCGAGTACGACCAACAAACGTTCTTCTGCCTCTGGTGCGGTATTAAGTAGTTTGCCTCTGAAAAAAGCATAAATATCGTTCTTTCATTCTCGGTTTATGATATCACGTTCACGTAACTGCATGAAACATTAGCAGGAACGATATTCGTCGTATCGAGTCACTTTTCGTATAAAATGACGGGTTCGATCATCGTTTCTCTAACAATAAATTCCGATGTACATACACATCAATTACGTTTAATCATAATACACGATAGGCAGACGAGGGAGCATGCACATAAGGAGTTTTCAAAGGACGAGTGTTCGGCTGAGAGCTGTTTTATTCAAGATTCGTCCGGCTATCGCTATCGTTTAATGTTGCGCGTTCATTAGATCGACAACGTAGACTTCTTTATCCGGATGCTTTCTACGCACATGAGCTCTAACGTTCGATGTGTGTTTAGTCCTGTAAGCACAATATGGACAGTTGAATCGCGGTAATTGTCCACACGCGTACTTCAAATGATGCTGCAGATTGTATCGCCAGTTGAAAGGCCTGCCACATTTTGGGCAAATGTGCAGCACTTTGTGTCGAGCCCGAGGATGAGTAGTCGCCTTACAATTTGCCACCGCTCGATTCCACCCATAATTCTCGATCGGACTTGGTACTTCTTCTGGAAAATGCAGACGTTCTTACGGTTAATTCTCGTAAACGCTCAACGTTTTTCAATTCCAAACATCTAACAACTAAGCCGCTCGCGACGCTTGCCGCTCGGAGAATCGCTCCCGTTTCACGAACATACTTGCTTCACCGAAGCGCTACTACAGATCACAATATATAACAACTAAATGAACGCAATTTGTTGGAGATTTGGAAAAAGAATGCAACGTATAAATGAGTCGAGTGGTTGCGATTTTCTGCTTCATACTATTATCTTTCGCATTCATTACAGGGCATTTCGTACATGTAGAAATGACATTTTGCGCATAAGTTTAGATCCATGGATCGACGAGACGACTTTACTTCGTTTCGCTACTGTCTCCAGATCCAAAAATGTCCATCCTTTCGATATGACGGCACAAGCTGAAGGCAAAACAATAAAATGAGAAGGGAAAGAAGAAAGGGACAACAGAACACGACTGTTAATGCTCCGGACAAAGAAAAAAGTACAAAATTGTGCGGATCAAACAGAATCTCTATTAAAGATGATAGAATTGAAAACCGATCTTTATAAAATTCGTCTTCGTAACTCCATTGGTGGTACATGTTTCATTTGGAAATACATTGTACATTTAAAAATACTTTTATAAATATAAATACATATAAATCTAATACGCTAGGATTAAAAGTAATCCTATCGGTATGGTACAAGTTTGCACTCGTGTATACTTTAATCAAGTTCAACAATTTGAACGACATTTAATTTGCAAATGTTCGGAAATTAAACCGACCTGTTTCGTACATGTCGTAATACGACGCAAGAACAAGCAATGTATTAGATTATACAATCAGATAACGATAACAGTAAGATGCGTCTGAGGACACGTAAGGAATTCTACGAGTTTTCCAAGCATCCATTGCCGACAACTATCGAAAAGCTGCCATTCTCGTCATGTCATTGTCGTCATTATCGTCGTTATCGTCGTCTGGGTCATCATAATCATCACTATTGTATTTATGCTCTGAGAACACAGGCAAGCATGTTGAAACTGGTGCCGCGTAAGTATATTTATGCTCCCAAAATTTTACAGACATCGATAGCGTAAACGTTATGACCAGGATGCTTTCTACGCACGTGAGCACGCACATTAGACACGTGTTTCGTTCTATATACACAATAAGGGCAGTTAAATCGCGGTAACTGGCCGCACTCGAATTTGGAATGATAGTAGAGATTATTCTTATGGCTGAAAACACTTGGGCAAGTCGGGCAAGGAAACTTTTGCTTCTCCACATATCGGTTTACCGAAATTCTGGTTCTCTGATAAGGTCGACGTCTTCTCCGGTCAGGCAAAACATACGTAAAATCTGCTGATTGGAGGTACTCTGAAACAGAAACAATACAAGAATCTCGTCAAATATTGCGTTCGTCTGATCAACGGTCGGTTTTTCAATGCGGTTCGATAAGTAATTTCAAGTTCGCTTGCAGGGACATACCTCGGGGAACGTTTTGTTTGTCGCCAAACCAGTCATCAACTAGGTACAGTTGATAATCACAAAAGGAAAAGATGGGAATTGGAGATATATATATATATATATATTATTACAAATATATATGAATATACATATATCCCTTTGTCAATAAACGTAAGTAACAAATAAGATACCATTTCATATATTTATGAAAAACTTGCTCGATGTTTGCAAGTGTGTTGCAAATACGATGTGTCGAACATACATGGCACTTTCTGTTCCTCTAAACCGTATCACGATAAGTTAAACGTTGCATTCACGGAATCGGTCGATACTGTACGCTTCTTGGTCGATTACTCATCGAGACAAATTTTCATATTTTGTCGAAGACGAAATTTCTCATTCGATACTGGCTACTCTCGCGTACGTGTACGTATCCGGCTCCAATCATCTGTTTTCCAAGATTCTTCTTCCCAGAAGGTAGCTTCTACCGACAAAGCGTAACGCGCGACGAGGTGCTTGGAACTCCTAGAAAAAAAAGGAAAGAAAATCGCGATCAATTCTGAAACGTCGCAAGTCTAACGTAGCAAAAGTGCGACGTTAAAATAGGAAAAGACTGTTCCAATCGTACTCCTAAACGCGACATCTTTACGCGTTCCCACGTCTTTCCTTTTTTCCCCTTGTCAGAAGTAAATCGAATTCTTTCGGAACCATCGTGAATAACGTAATTGTTTTCGGTACTAATTCAAACAGGCTGACGCAATGCCTATTGAAACGAATCGATTCGATACTAGTTTATTTATGGCGTACGATTTGAACACTTTTCTTTTAAAGGAGCATCGATCAGTACCGTTCTACGAGACAACGACGACGATGCCGATAATGACGACGACAATATCCAAAACGAGGATGTTATAAAACATAAAATGCATTCGTTCGTCGCGTTCATCGCGTCTAATCGATTCAGATTTTACGATTCCCGGCTTCTTGCCGAGTTTCTTCTTCCTTTCTCCGTATCCTTCCGTAGACGAATTTTCGAACCTTAGGCGAGCGTAATCTCAAGCAACGTGCTGTTGCAACTGGCAAAGATCTACGGTGTACACTTCTCTTCCTGGATGACATTTGCGAACGTGTCGTCGAGCATTCGAGATGTGCCTGGCGCAATAGTTGCAATACGGACAATTGAATCGTGGCTTCTGACCGCATTCGAATTTTTGATGATAGGTCAGCCCGCCTTTTCTACTGAAGACGCTGGTGCAATTGCCACAAGGGAACTTCCGTGCGATCATTCTCGAGGAATCGGAGGGCGAAACGATCGTAGCGTTCCTCGAGAAGCCGTGGGTTGGTCGTTGAAGAAGAAGGTTTTGCGAGTGTACTGCCGCGTCCGTGAACACACAGTAATTTATACCTGGAACAGAAACAAGAACGCGACACCCGTGTCAGAGTAGTTCATACTATCAGGAGCTCTGCGTACACAAAGAGGAACTAGAGGAAAATAAGAATCGGAGCTGATGTCAAACCTTCTTCGGTCGTCGATCTCCAGGGTGTCAATGACACGCCAGGATGCGAGATGTTCGATTTCCGCGACGCAACATCTTCCATGAAGAAAAGGATGAAATAATAAAAAGACCGCTCCTATATATGATCATAATTACGTAACAGCTTGATATTTTATTTTTTACACAATGAAATTAATACGTCCTCGCAGAAACAACGCTATTCGAAAGTGGT